CTAAAAATGACAACTTGTTTCCCAGAAAATTTATATATATATATATATATATATATATATATATATATATATATATATATATATATATATATACGCATGTGTGTGGATCATATTATCGACACATCAATTGTGATTGGCGTGTCATTCTCGAATTCGTGTCCAGACAGATGCATTCAATTCTACAGAAATATTCCTGAAAATACGTATCACTCAGTTCTCCAACAATCTATTAATTAACAGGGCAGACTGGCCATTCTAGCCTTAGCTGGCTAACACTTGAGTAGAAAAAACAATTGGGTATTACAAACCCCTGGGATTTCAATCCATAAAACCTACATACTCCTGGAAATACAGTAGCAACGCGTAGTATGGGAGAGCTTTAACCTCCATATTACACATAGAACCATACTGGATATATTATTATTTCACATTCACTCCCTCATATATATATATATATATATATATATATATATATATATATATTTTTTTTTTTTTTTCATTTCAATCTTTTGGAAGTAAAGTCTGATGATCAGAGCCCTGTTCAAGGGGTTGGTGTGAAATAACTTATTACATGGAACCTTAAAGTGGTCTGTTTTATTCAAACATATCGGCTCTGAATTTTACATTGAGCTCTCCGGATATCATCCTCCTTGGGTCTACCCATGCGGATTACCTAGTTTTGCATAAACTATATATATATATATATATATATATATATATATATATATATATATATATATATATATATATATATATATGTGTGTGTCTGCGTGTGTGTGTATACTTCAAGTAAGAAAAATTATTATACATTGTTGAAAAAAAGTGTGACATGAAAAAAGTGTTGTAAAAGCACATGACCTTATGCAAAGGGCAATTGTTAGATCACATTAGACCAAAAACGAAGCAAAATAACAGTTCTATTGGATGTATGAAAATTGTATTTGTCATTCGTTTCCTTCTGAGGATAAGGTATTAGAGGCATAAGCACATGATGCATTAAGCTTCAGTAATAAGTAGAACATCCAGTAAAGCGTAATTCACTGTGAAATGAGACAAAAATAATAATTATGCACCAAATTTATTTTTTTCAATGTGATCATAAACTTTGCTTATAGACGTTGGCACCGCTGTCGATAGTAATTATACATGTCTATAATAAGAAGCTAAAAGCAAAAAAAAAAATGGTTGCAATAGCCAATCGTATCATGATCGATAAGTGTAGTTTACTATTTGTTCTTTGTGGCCACACAAAACTGAAGTGTCCTAATATTTCACTGATCAATTAGCAAACTACTGATAGATGCCTTTCCAACGGTTACTGTATGAAGTGAACATAAATGAATTAGCCGGACTTTGAAATCTGCTTGTTGATTACAATTTCTTAGTATATATCAGTTGCAATGCCCATATATCATCAACATGGTCATAGTCGTTATCGTCAATCCTAGTACCCGGTGTAGTCGTAACGTCGCGGCGCAGTTGAACACACAAACAGCTCCATCTGTTTGTCTAATTGCGTGACAGTGTTTGAGTCGGCAGTTTTCTGCCGATTTTTCTTCAAGTTATACGGCTAGGGACATTGGAGAGATATTCAATATATCTTATAATGAGCAATGAAAGGGATTTATAAACTTTAGGATATGTGAATCAGGATGATGACTACGTGTCTCAAAATTGAACAGAAAAAAATGATAAACCACATTTCCATCTGCAATTCTCTGTTCAAGCAGAACTTAGACAACACATTTTTGAAAAGGACGATCACAGATGATAGGAAATTGATTGTTTAATACAATGTGAAGCAGAAATTTTCCTGCGAAACGAAAATGTTTCAATATAGCAAAATATATTGCAGCGTATAGCGTAGAATGCCATTGGTCCAGTATTTGTCTATATTTCTGAGATGAGATGTACACTATTTACATTATTCGGACTATTGTCCTCATCTTTGTTGCCATATTTATCACAACGTTTCGGCCGCTGCACGCTCGGGCCCTCCTAAGGTGGCCGGAATGTCGAACCGAACACCCACATCGCTCACCGGGACAGACTGTTCTACTTCCACGTGCCATGTCTAATGGATGCCAGTTATCTCCTGTTAATTCACCTCTCCAACTTCTCCACTGCCTCAACCAGGTATTGAACACAACTACCCGGGTCCTGTCACAGGATCCAACCAACGCTTCATCCACTGTGCCATTAAGGACACATGGCACAGTGGATGAAGGAGTTGGCGAATAATGTAAATAATGTCATTGGTGATTTAGTCTTTCAAATTTGCACGTTAAAATTCAGGCAACTTCTCTATCCAGCTAAAGCGATTAAACAGCGCAGTCGATGAAAAACATCAGCAATTGGTTTGTTTGGAGGGCGTCGTCTCCGGTCAGGTCAACACTAGATCTCACGAATTTATTGACCCTGTAAGCTTAGCGTACTTGGACTCACTTTTGGAGCTTGCAATAGGAAGGTGATTTGGCTAGAGTAGAGGTGTACGGGGATGGTGGCGCATGACCTTTGCTTATCGGAGGGTCTTATGATCTTGCAGCGAATGCGTGACGCCTTGTTGGATAAAAGAAATAAATTGATGGCGAGCAGCAAGCCCAGGAAATGATATGTAGCACAGAATTTATATCCGGCACATGAAAACCCTCGAGACTAATAGAATAGGCTTAATATAAATTAGCCTTATTGATGTAGACCTATTAATTAATATTCACCCCAGAAGAGTGCTTCCGGTATTAAACTCTCGTATCATGGTACGAAGAGACATACGTATATACACACATACATACCCATATATATATATATATATATATATATATATATATATATATATATATATATATATGTATGTATGTATGTGTGTTTGTGTCTGAGATTCACTGTGTGTTTGTATATATGTGCACATTGTGTGCTTCTAGATACTTTTACATATCTCTTGCTGAAGCAAATATTTTCCCGCAATTTTCTAAGTGGTAATTGCTTTTGATTATGAGTTTTAATTCTGTTACCGGACTATCATATTTTCATTCACAGTCATAACTATAGGATCAGAACGAAAAAAAAAATCTCCTACGCATATTTATTCTAATAATATCAGCTCAGTATAAGCCATAGTTTTTCGTCGTTTATTTTCACGCCCAAAACTGTCACTATGTAAGTAGGTTTCTACTTCCGTGAACTAAGGCACAGCGTCGCTAAAAGCGGCGTTGGGCTTCCCACAAATATTACACTTGGGATCTGGCGTCGACAAGTCTCGGAATCTGATAAAGACACGATGAATTACAGTAGCAGTTATTAAAACAAATACATTCCATTCACCGAAACTAAAAAAATATGTGCATGTTAAAAGGTTTGAGTGAAAGAGACTTCAGTGTCTCTCTCTATCATATCGTTATGTTTCATTTATTCTGTCTCTATCTCAGTCAGTAACTCTCTGTCTCTCTGTCTCATTATATATATATATATATATATATATATATATATATATCAAGTATTTTTAATTGCAATTCAATTTACATTACATATATACGTATATATATAAACATATGTATGTATATATATATAGATACATATAAACATAAATATTGATACATATATATATATATATATATATATATATATATATATATATATACATACATAAATACACACACACACACACATATATATATATATATTATAGGAAAAAAAGAAATAACAGTAAGATGTATAGTTCGGTGTTCTTATTAATATTTTTATTTTTACAAAATTGTGTGTGTATGTATATATATATATATGTATATATTTGTGTATATATGGGTACGTGTATGTCTTTTTTATGTTGTATATATGCCGTTTTTTATGTTTGTGTGTGTATTTTGTTGGGCACGTGAGTTTATAATCGTTTATATATATTGTTTTGGTGCAATAACCTTCCTCAAAATCTGAAAAATTATTTTCGATGGACCCTATATATATATATATATATATATATATATATATATATATATATATGTATGTATATATATATATATATGATAAAATTAAGAAGGATTTGAGATAATTAAGTAATTTATCGAGTATAGAAGAAACCTCAACAGAATGCAGAAAGGCACTGGACGGCAGTTTCGTCCTATATTTGGGACTCATAAGCAATGCGCATCCACTACCGAGAATTGAAACCCGGACAGTTGGTATGACGTTTGCCATTCAATGCCATCAATATCTTGCTTTAGCAAATGCCCTCTATCAAATGAAAAGTTTTGCCCGCAGCAAGGCTGGGGTAGTATCACCATTAAGAAAGCAACAAATGAAATATGGCTTTCTCTTACCTAATGTACTCCACGATAGCCCCTGCTAGCATGCATAAATGCAAAACGAAATATAATGCTGACCCTCATTTATATATATATATATATATATATATATATATATATATATATATATATATATATATATATATATATATATAAAATAAATAAATATATAATGTTAAATAAATATAATGTTAAATAAATAGTACGAAAACGAATTGAAAAATGAAATTATTTGTAAATACCGTTGTGAAACTTTCCCTCGACGAACATCAATGTTGACAGTGTTATTTAAATTATGAAATATCACACTCAGTCTCCAGGTGCAAAGCCAGAGTGCTTCCCACAAAAATATGTAGCTCAAAATGTCTCGCTTGAACACGACACCTAACGATTCTTGTATGAAGAAACATCCTTCTCTCCAAGTTGAACATTATAGATCAACATACGATGAACCAGGTGTAACTCTAGCGACAACACTTGAGATTTAAATGATGGTGTTTTAGTGCAAATAAGATCAAGTCTGAGGCCTACGAGCATTAATGCTGCTGCAAATGAAATATTCCTAACGGTCTACTGGTGATACTCATTTAACCCACATTAGTTCTGACCTGTGCTGTGGACGTCACGCCAATCTCTCTATCTTGGCGAATATCCATACGCGAGACTCTTCAGGAATGTTCTACGGAATTAGTAATGTTAAAT